CCCCAGAGGGAGCTCACTACCTTGCTTCAGACTTCAGTTCAGCTCTCCATCTGTTAGACAGCAGTGAGCTCGAAAAACAAGTGGACCAGGTTTGGATAATTGGTGGAAGCGCTCTGTACAAGGTTGGTAAAACTATGCAAGCCTGTCATATCTGTTGAGAAATTCAGAGAAATGTTATAAAAGCATAAACATATGCGGACTATGCATATACCATATATAAATATATTTAATATATAAACGTAACATATTTTTCTTAAATATATACATGCATGTGTGTGTATTTATATATACATAATAAATATACACAGTACACACATTTATGTAAACAAAAACTTTTATTTTGGATGTGATTAATCGTTTGACAGCACTAATATATATATATATATATATACACACACATACACACAGTTGAATGGCTTTTGATCAGTTCCATGTGTTTGTATGCACATTCTCCATTTATTTCTGAATACATTAAAATATATATATTTTTTTGCAACCTAGTTTTAAAATTTAAGATGCATCATACAATCATACAAATGATTTATGAAATTAATTGTATTGTTTTTGTAATGTGGTTTGATAGTTCCTCATTTGAGGGTAAAATGGGCTGTTTCACCAGTTATATGCGTGCAACAATATAAGTTATACACCCACCTGTACATCAGTTGTATCTCAGTTATAGCGCAGTTTAGTCAGATCTTTGTATAATCAGTTGTTATGGAAACTGTCTCAAGGCAAAATGTACAAAAGACTCCCTTCCTTCATGCTCCTTCCTCCTCATTCTGTTAATATCTTGTACACTGTAATCACTTTGTGAATGTTGTGCTGTGTTCTTCAGGAGGTGATGGAGAGTTCTGCTCCCAGGCGTCTTTTTGTAACACGGGTCCTCAAGCAGTTTGACTGTGACACATTCATACCTGACATTAACATGGACAAGTACAAGCTCTTGCCCGAGTGAGTACTCATACAGTTGTTTGTATGCTTACATGAAGGTCTATGTGAAGAGAGTTTAGCATTGCAGTTCTTGAAGGCAGCTGCTCAGCTGCATTAAAGTGACAGTGAAAACATTAATAATGTTACAAATGATTTCTCTCTAGGGATGTTCATTTCGGTTATTTTTCCTAACCGACAAACGACGCTCGTTAACCGATTATTAACCGTTAACCGACAAGATTATTTTAAATTAGAATTGAATTAAATTAGAAAGGATAAGTGTCTGTGACCCGTTAAAAATACTAACATTTGTTTCCCGGGAATTAATTTTACATCCGAAAAATGCAGCAAACAACAGAACATGAGGATTCACATGCATCACATCATGCACCTGCAGCGCTTCTGCGAGCGGAGAAAAACATAATAAAGCTAGGGTATATATAAATAATAATAATATATTAATAATAATAAATAGGCCTATACGAGAAATATATTTTTACTTAAATAATAAATTAAGAAAACGAAAGAAAAACTGTGCAACAAGTAGCCTAGTATGCAGAGTTTCGGTTCATTTTTGTGCTGCGCGAAAGGAAACAGACGGCAGAAAGCGGTTTATATTGCTATAGCTTCTTATATTTTAAATTCTTGTTCTTTTCAAAATACTGTTAATTGAAAGGATTTGTTGTGGAGTGAGGGGAACTAAAATAGCCTAGCTATGATTACAGTGTTTATTATAATGTTTGTAAACATTTCTCGTTGGCATTAGGCCTATTTCTGAATGAAATAATAAAATGCGACTTATACACGAATTTTTTTTTTTTTTTTTTAAAACGCAATTTTTTATATAGGCCTACGCGTAGCGTATTTTAATCATGCAGCAAACCTTTTTAAATATTTTGATAAATTACTGAAATAAATAAATAAATGACTTTTTAAATCGTTTAACTGATTGTATTAATCGGTCAAAAATTCTTATGGTCGGTTAACAGTTAACTGGTTAAACTGAACATCCCTATTTCTCTCTCAAATAAATGCTGTGGTTTTAAACTTTCTATTAATCAAAGAATCCTAAAAAAATATTACTGTTACTACAAAATATTATGCACCACAGCTATTTTTAACATTGATGCTAATAAATGTTTATTGCACATCAAATCAGTATATTATAATGATTTCTGAAGAATCATGTGACACTGAAGACTGGAGTAATGGCTGCTGGAAATTCAGCTGTGCCATTAGAGGAATAAATTCTATTTTAAAATAGAAAACTGATGTTTTAAATTGTTATATTATTTCAAAATATTACTGTATTTTGGATCAAATAAATGCAGCCTTAGTGAGCATAAGATACCTCTTTCAAAAACCTAAGAAAAAAAAGGTACCAACCCCAAACTATTAAATGTTATTGCATTAATTTCAAGCTTTTAAGAGCCCTACAGAATAAATTCATTTGCATATTGCTTGCAAAAAATGTTTCATAACATGATTTGTAGGAGTGATATTAATACTTCAGTTTAGTGTTAAACTTCAAAAGGCCATTTGCCAAGGCTAAAACTCTTCAGTGTTTTGAAACACATTTTTTGTACGTATGTTTAGGAATATTTGTCTGGTCGTGTCCTTGAATAAAGTGGGATTAATGGATTTACTGGCACTGGAACAGACATATGCTGTATTGTGTATCCAGAGAGAATAGTGAAGAGTTACATTAATGAGGAGGGAAAAGCTCTCTTGTTATGTAAAAATAGCATCTAGCATCAAAGGTGGGCCGCACCAAATGTCACATCTCTCAGGCACACAATAAGCATTTAAAGAGAAGTTAAATGCACACAGAATGTTGACACATGATCATCACTGCCACTTCATCTGACAAAGAGCAAAATTATTTGTGTTCTCAAATTCATTTGATTGGTTTCAACAGTTAATTGGCACAGTGAACAAGAATCTATACCAGTCTAAAGTGGATGGAAGTTTATGAAAGTACAAGCATGTAATTGTGTATGTGTCTGTATTATGTTTTGTACTGCAGGTGATATTTTCTTGTGTTCTTAGAACTAGTTCTTAGTTCTTATCAGTCCATAGAAATGTGTGGGTAATGTCTTATTGTTCCTTCTATTTCTCTCTCTTGTTTCCTTCTGGTCAGATTCCCGGGTGTACCCACGGGCGTGCAGGAGGAGAATGGTGTTCAGTATGTATTTGAAGTATATGAGAGCACCGACCACTAAGAAGATCCTTTAAGCATGATGCTAAGGTCGGAGAAGTGGCCTGGCCGGGTAATGCGAGTGCTCTGACATGTTGTGTGGCTCAGACCTGTTTTTAAATCAGAGTTTTGTAATTGCCTGACAGACTCCCATCACCCCTTTTTCTCCCTATCATTTGTTTGCCACATTTCCTGTCCACTTTCCTTAGTAATAAAAATGAAACGTGATTCTAGGACAGTTAAAACATTTTTATTATAAAATTTTATATGTGGCCTTTGCAACTTTATATACAAAGTGGAAAGTAGGCAGAAAATCATGAGAAGTCAAGAGGGTGGGTAAAAGGGTGAAATTGATAGGATCCAATCTCCCATGAGCACAACTCTACATGTTGCAAGAGTGCTGACCACTAGGTCTCTGCTTATTTGCGGCCTTTTCTCAATGATTTTTTTTTTTAAATATGCAAAAACAGTTGTTTTCCCACTGTCACTACCAGAATATTATTTGATTAGTATCAGGTTTAGTTCCTGGATTATCATTTCAAATATTCAGAAAACAATATACTTAATTTTGATCATAAATTTTATTTTCCACATCTGCCATCCAGTTAATTATTCTTCATCTTGCCAACTGCAAAAGACAACCTGCTCATCTCCATATCCAATAGCAACTGAAGTGTCTGCTCTTAAGCCAGCCTGAAGATCTGACTGCTCTCATGAATATGCATATGTGTTTGGTCTTCAGACTGGCTGATTGACAAAGGTTGTCATATAGTTTAGAGAAGGGTCGCAATACTAGCACTTTCTCTCTCACCCACACAAACTCCTTCATGACCCCTATTTTAAAAAGCCAAATGCCGCAATCAGGCAATACCTTTTTAGGCTGATTGGTTTCGGATATGTCAGCCTAATGTACTACGAATGTTTACGACCAGGCTGAAATAAACCTGACTGGAATTCCAATTACCTTGCACATGCACCTTAAAGGGATAGTTCACCCAAAAATGAAAATTTGATGTTTATCTGCTTACCCCCAGGGCATCCAAGATGTAGGTGACTTTGTTTCTTCAGTAGAACACATATGATGATTTTTAACTTTAACCGTTGCAGTCTATCAGTCGTATAATGCATGGCAATGGTAACAAAATCTATGAGAGTAAAAAAAACATGCACAGACAAATCCAAATTAAACCCTACGGCTCGTGACGACACATTGATGTCCTAAGACACGAAACGATCGGTTTGTGCCAGAAACCAAACAGTGTTTATATCATTTTTTATCTCATCCGGTGCGTGAGGTGTGTACGCGCTCTGGCGTAGTTTACGCAAGCGCCGGAAGTGATCTCTCGCGCGTATACATCACTCATTGTTTACACAGTGCACAGTCATTGTAGGTACGACGGCTAATCAAAATGGTACTTACTTGCACTTATCCGGATTGTTCAAACCGACTTAAAACTAAAAGATTACGTTCTCTCACGCGAACTCATTCGGGAGTGGTGACTTTCCACGTATTCCCAACTTCTGAGCCTGCTCGCCTGAAGTTATGGTTGATTGCTCTTCGGCTGGATATCAACACACCCATGAACGATATAAATACTGTTCAGTTTCTTGCACAGACCGATCGTTTCGTGTATTTACACATCAATGTATCGTCACGAGCTGCAGGGTTTAATTTGGATTTGTCTGTGCATGTTTTTTTTACTCTCATAGATTTTGTTACCATTGCCATGCATTATACGACTGATAGACTGCAATGGTTGGAGTTAAAAATCATCATATGTGTTCTACTGAAGAAACAAAGTCACCTACATCTTGGATGCCCTGGGGGTAAGCAGATAAACATCACATTTTTGGGTGAACTATCCCTTTAAGTAGCACTTGGATTTATTTTCAGGGTACAAACAGTACCTAGAGAGTTGAGAAGTGTTTGCATTTTAATTATTTTATGCAAGTGAGTTGATTTTTCAAATCAAAAGGTAAAGGAGACCAGTGGACTTGCTGATTTTCTGTTTTTCAAGTTAGCAACTTTTTGTCCATTATTATTCTATTAGGAGCCTTATTATTGTAATTTTCTTTAGTGCCATCGTTACAGGCTTATTTATAATATATAAATAGCTGAACTGCTGCCTCAAAGGCGAGACAGTTGTGTCATAATGATGTAACTGCACCATAGGAGTCACGATCATGTGAGCGTGTTGACATCAGAGTTAGAAACAAATGAGAATCTGCGCACAACCTCAGCATATGAGTTCAATAACCCTCTTTCGCAATGTGAGAATAATAGAGCAATCGCTTCCTGACGCTGGATGTGTAGGGACTGGCGTCACCTTGCTCTTTTAAGCTTGACTGTCCTCCTGATACACAGGGACTTGGTCTGTGTTGAGGTTGGTAGCTTGTTTCCAGACATGAGAGCACAGGCACTTGTTCTCTCCGTCTCTCTCCTCTATCTGTGCCACTCTTTCATTCACCCTCAGTGAGTGCACACGTTCATCTCCCACTTCAAGCTCCAGCTTTATTCTCACCCCTGGATTACTCGTCTATTACAAAGATGACATGCCACAGGAAGCTATTGGAAAACTAGAACTGCAACTGGTTTAAAAGAGGTAAGGATCTAATCTCATCTCCTTAAGAAGTATGAATACTTTTTTAAATGAAATAAGCAACTTTACATTTTTATGCATTTTAACTTTTTGTGTTATTAAAGATTTCATGCATATATTTTTTTAGTTTTGTGAAGCTGCTGGTCTTGGTTTTTGATGCAGATCTGTGCAAGACTTTATGATGTGAGTGAATAGAGTTTTTTCCATTAGATTTGACCTTGGCTGTATTCGTCTGTAAAAATAAGAGTATAAATAGTTCTCACCAAATAGCATTTTCAAATATGATTTTCCCACATAAACGTGAGATTTCTTTAAATTAAATTTTACAACTATATATGTGCATGTATATGTCTCTACATGTAATATGAATTTAAGTAAAGTTAATTTAAGTTTAATTAAAATATTTTTTTGTTTAAAATAAAATAAGTATAAAAATATATGTATATAATGTATATATAACATAATTTATTTAAATGAGGTTTAAAATGATCAACTTTAAATACTTAGGTTTGCTGCTTTCACTGTTTAGCATATAAATGTATCGTATGGACATGGAAATGTATCTTCGTATCAGCTGAGGAGGCTTATAATTTATTCTCCTGATCCTGGCAAACCTCGAAAGCACAGTGAGGAAGCTTTCATTACCCTCATTAATCAAGACATACAAAAAACTATTCTTATTCAGTTATCGGTTGATGTCACAGAGAGTGGGTTTTCATTTTCCCTGCAGGTGTTTTGAGAGGGACAAAATCAGCCCACCATTTGTGAGGAGAATTAAGTATTGCGTGATCTGGCATGAATCACAGATGCATACAGGTGCGTGAAGTGGTCCGTTTGGTGCTCCACTTCAGCGCTGTCGCTGCAACAATCGCCACCCTCGTCTGTTTTGGGCCTCATTTGCTCCATGCTTTTTAGCACGAGGCAGCGACAGAGAGAGAGAGGCCTGTCATTAAAAATTCTCTCTGTTCCCAAGGGCGATTGAAGACTAGGGGTATGGCACACAAAGCTGTGGTTTTAAATGCCAGCCTAGGGAGCTCTAGGAATTAGCAGCTTGAACCGAAATGTCCTGCAGGCATCAGGCAGTGTGCTTGTATCAGACCAATCAGGACTTTAGCATGTCTGCACAACTTGATTTGAAAAGCAAAAACTATCAGAACAAAGTGCTTTATTAGCATACACGTGGAGAAAGAAAGACGAGGATGGAGGATGGAAAGGCAGATATATTTAAGGCTAATATTGAATTTAGGAACATAAAGGTATTCTAATCCACACATTTATTTAATGTATAAGCAATGTGCTGACGCAATCTCTCATTTAGCATTGTCACATGCTGCCTCCACGTCCAAGAAAAGCTGCAGTTAAAGCGTCAGCCCAGATTTTCATCCTCTTTATTTTTTATTGGAGGACACAAAAAGATTCATCCTCTTACTCATCTTACCTCAACTCCAGTGAATTCACATTTATAAACCTGACTGAGACAGTCTCGCGCTCGCTCTTTGTTAAATAAAGAGTGCACAGCAACTGCGCTCTGAGTTGAGAGAACAAGGCCACATGCACAATAGACTGCATAAAGGAATGCCATCGTTCAATGAGGCAAATACAGACGGCCTCAAGCTATTGAATTTCAACCTACTGAAAAACTATTGCTCTTATAAGAACAGACTATGCATGTATGGTGCACGCTAACATGTTAAATACAGCACTTATACTGCACCCGCTAATTTGAAAGTACAGTACAAGTTAAGCTTGTGACAGCATCATAACTTTCATGTGTCTCTGTCCCTTTTCTGTTAAAAAGCAAACATCAAGGTTACAGCAATGCACTTAAAATGGAAACAATTGGAATATTTTTGGAATATTTTGCCGGGGGGGGGGTCATTAAATTTAAAAAAATTAAAAGAATATAAAAGGGGAGTCATTAAATTTTATGTAAAGGGGATTAGATAACTAATTCAGTTTTCTTATGTCTTCTTGTCAAGTGCCACCTACGTAGTCATCATAACAAACATTTTCATATTAGTGGCTACCCGGTGAATGGCGAGAGACCCTAGATTAGAGCAGGAAGCCTCTCTAGCATATTATTCTGAGCCAAAGAGGGAGAGAACATTTCAATGTCAAAGAGTTATCAGGTTTGCTTTGAAGCGAATGAACCAGATAAAAGGCAGACACTTAAGTAAAAACCTTGAGAAACTGTGGTTCTTATTCAGTGTGCTCTTCTTCTCTTGCCTGACAGAAGTCAAAGAAGTCAGCTCCTATGATCCACTGAGCCGACTCGACATTAGCCTCTCAACGGTCTCACCACTTAATCATGGAGGACTCGACAGAGGTGCGGACGGACGGAAACTCTTTGCTTAAAGCAGTGTATCTGTGCCGCCTGAGGTTGACGCGTCTGCTGCTGGAAGGAGGGGCTTACATTAATGAGAGTAATGAGAGAGGAGAAACTCCACTGATGGTGGCCTGCAAAAGCCACCATGCCGATGCTCAGAGTGTGCCAAAACCCAAGATTATCAGGTGGGCCTACTGTAAGTTAATTACACCAGCTGATTGTGCCATCAAACGTGGATATTAGTTTATAATTAAGTACATTAAAAATGTTATTCATACATCAGTACAATGACTCTTGTATGATGAGCGTGTTTTAATTTCTAAAGTGAAATTTATTTTGATGTTTTTGGAGGGAGCATTAAGTGAATAAAATCAGGGTGAGATGTGTGTCCTAAAATAAAACAATTAAGAAAAAAAGTCTAATTAAAAAAATATAGAAAAGAAAATCTTATTAAGTAGTTTGGCATAAACTTATTTTTATTTCTTAGAAAATAAATATTTAAAAAGATTGCTTTACTACAGACCTGCATGAATATGTGTCAAGGCAAATAATTATCTTAAACTACAAATATTTTTAAAAAGGTTTTGCCATTAAATATACATTACTGTAAGATTATGATATATATTTGTTTAAATATATAAAGTAAAACATTACTTTAAAATACATTTAGACTTAATTTAGCAATAATGCATTCAATTGCTAAACAATTATAGTAAAGACATTTGCAATGCTACAAAAGATTTCAAATAAATCCTGTTCATTTGAACTTTGTATTCATCAAAGAATCCTGAAAAAATGCATTAGGGTTTCCACAAGAATAAGCAACACAGCTGTTTTCAACATTGATAACAAAAAATTTTGAAAATGCTCACCAAGCAATTTCCTGAGCACCAAATCAGCATACCAGCATGATTTCTTAAGGATTATTTAACACTGAAGACTGGAGTAATGGCTTGCCATCACATTTTAAAAGATGTTAAAGTAGAAAATGGTTATTGTAAAATGTTATTACAATTTAAAATATCACTGTTTTACTTTATTTTTGATCAAATAAATGCAGGAGACCCCAAACTTTAGAAGTGTAACGTATTTTTTGTGTGTGTTTACACTCATGTGTATTCAAGGGGTGAAGAAAATACTGAAATTGTATCTTGAATTGCTTAATGCTAACAACTGAATCCATTCTTAAAATTGTCATAAAGGTTTTTAAAAATCACTTGAAACAAACATGAATACCAAAAGTATATTTCTTGGCACACCTTTTGAAAAAACATTTATTACAAGATTTTTTTTGTTTTTCTTTGTCATGGATACTCTGATATGCCACTGATCAATTCCTTTATGATCTCACTCTGACGAATCAATCTTCTCAACAGGTATCTTCTTGAAAATGGTGCGGACCCCAACATTCAGGATAAGTCTGGTAAGACTGCCCTAATGCATGCCTGCATAGAGCGGGCAGGCGATGAGGTGCTGTCGCTTCTGCTCTCCAGTGGAGCTGACCCTAGTTTGGAGGACCACACTGGTTCCTCCGCTCTGGTCTATGCAGTTAACGCTGGAGACAAGAATGCACTGAGAGTACTGCTGGACGCCTGCAAGGCCAAGGGCAAAGAGGTTATCATCATTACAACAGACAAACTACCGTCCGGAAGACAAATGACCAAGCAGTATCTGAATGTACCACCTCCTCCAAATCTTGAGGACCGGTTGCACTGTGCCCCTGCGTCATGTATGTGCCCTTCTGAAATTAAACTCTGTACCCCTTTTATCTCACCACCCACCAATAACCAATCTGAGACCCTGGGATCCACACCAACACTGTCCACATCCAAGCCAGGATCACCGACTCAAGATTCAAGCCCTCTGCAAGCAGCAAGTGTGGCGAAGCTGTTGCATCTACAGAGGCTTCACTCTGAGCCCTGGCTGAAGATCCCTCCATCTCTGCTCCTACAGCAAAGTAAGTCCTCATCCTTGACCGAGGAGCTTCTAGATATCACTCCCAAAGAGGAGCTCTCTTTTGGGTACAATGGAGCTCCACTGAGAGCGACATTAGCTCGGCACCAAAGCATCGACGTCAAGGACTCTACTGGTCTGCTTAGAGCCTTTGAGACAACATCTGATGCTGAAAGAGAACTAACAAAAGAACAGAAATGGCTCAGTAGAAAAATGTCTTATGATGGTGAACTGCTACCACACTCTTCCTCACATCAGAACCTCAAACAGGCATCCATCTCCGATACTGCCCCTGTGGACCGGGACCCAGACTATCTTCCCAACCTGGCCGTTTCAAGCCTACGCAATGTGTTTAGCCGGCGCAACATTGGAATGGACCACTACAGTTCTGACTCTCAGTTGCCTCAATTTGGGAGCCAACCCTCTGAGGACCTCGGGAAGTCTGGAGGAGGAGGAACCGGGGGGACGGAGAAACGCAAGCTTGTTACCAGCCGCTCCTCCACTCTCTCTGGATCTAGAGAGTCTCTGGAGAGTCTCGTTCAGAGGAGGAGCCCAGCCATGCTGGAGCGGAGGGGATCCGGAGCCCTGCTCCTAGATCATATCTCGCAGACACGGCCTGGTTATCTGCCACCTCTCAATCCGCATGCACCCATTCCAGATATTAAAGTCAATACCAGTGTTGGCCTGAACAGTGGAAGCAAGCCGGTGGCAGGAACTACACCCATTGTTTCTGGATCGAGGCATTTTGTGCCCTGTGCCCCGAGCCATCCCAGAGATCACAAGAATAAGAAGAGTCTGCTAAGACGACACTCCATGCAAACCGAGCAGATCAAGCAGCTGGTCAATTTTGAGGAGATCTTTGGTCAGTAAACACCCCAAAGAAAGGTTGGGGTAAATATAGAGATTTAATGTAATATGTCAATCTACACTAAGTCTGAAATCTGAAGAGAATAAATGTTAGATTGAAATACGATTTATACATCTCAACCACCTCCCTTTATGCACTTTCCAGACTGGACAATGGGAATATATGTTTGTTTTGATCATTTGTAAACTTTACTTCTGTTCTTTGTGATCTCACTCATTAGTGTACTGAATCAGAAAAATGGACACTTTGTTGCTGTTTAAGGCACTGCTTCCTCTTTAAACCTGATTCATGTCTGCAGTGTCTTAGTATTTACAAAACAAGAAAATATTGTGACCTTGTATATTTACCCATTGACTGTAAATAAATTCAGTATAAAACATTGCTTTCACTTTCTTGCATATATGTGTTGTATAGTGTGCACTTAATTCTGCATGCAATTACACATGTTGAGAACATATTTTCTCTTTTCATATTTTCCCCCTAATTAATATAATTACCATATAAAAGAGCACACGCCAATATCCGAATTTCTATGCTTGAAGCACAAGCATAGAGCACAAGCACGAGCACAATGAAAAAAAAACTTTACCGAGTCTGAAATTGAGGTCCTGCTGGCGGAGGTAGAGGTTCGTGCGGGGACGCATTTTATTTAATAATGTGTAGGCCTAATTATTCTGTGGACAAACAATGTGTGTGTGGTTATATTTTTTTCTATTGACTATTATCAAAATTACTACTTCTAGAAACAACAGAAATAATAATAATAGTAATTATAAAACAATTAGGTTTCCAAAAGTAAGAATAAACTACGAATTCAAGTAAAATTTTCAGTCATGTTATAAAAAGGGAGCCATCCTACTTTTAAAATCACTTATGACAACTAATAAAACGTGTCACAAAATTCTTGAAAAACTTTAAAAAACATTACTGAAAGAAAAACGGGACGTTTCATATCATAATAAAATAAATTATTACACGATTGGTCTCCAGTCTGAAAAAACCTGCATGTGATTTGGCATTTCTTTATATTTACACAGTTTACTAATGCTGCTCAAATGTGCCATTAATGTACTGACACAAAAATATTTAGTGTATTTTATGCAAATATAACTGATGTAGCCTACATGACAAAAACAAAGTTTAAGGCTGATGTCTCTATTCATTTTCACAGAAACAAAGCAGCAGAAGTTATAAATAAAAACAGTTAACAATGTTATTGAATAGAATATATTAAAACCGTTATTGCACGACATAGGCCTATTCTTATAGGCTACACAGACAAAACAGTCAGAGATGCGTTTCTGCATTTTTTTTTCTATTTTACGCATTACTAGTAAATCAAGACTTCGCAAGTTCTCGTAAAATAAAATAATAAAAAAAACAACA